GTTCTAGCTCCACAATCGAAGCACCCACTGTGGACATGGATGCCAAAACAGGGGGAGTTGGAACAGATGAGGTTCTTACAGTTACCATTGCAGCACCCAGTGCTGAAGTTAAAGTTCCCTCAATAGATTTACAAACCACCGGAGGTGAACATGAGGCAAAGGGAAATAAATTCAAAATGCCCAGCTTTGGTTTTTCTTCACAAGCAAAAGGCCCAGATGTAGATTTAAGTATATCAAAGACAGATGTCGATGTGACACTACCAGAAGCCAAAGCTGAAATCAAACTCCCTGACGATGACCCAAAACAAACATCTGCAAATGAAGCATACCAATTCAATTATGAGGACAGTAATATTGAAGGGTCACCGTCAAAATTTAAAATGCCTACATTCAAATTACCAACATTTGGAGTTGCTACACTTCAAGCCAGTGTGGATGCGCCTGATGTGAGAAAAGATATTGGTGTTGATGGAGAGGGTTTAAAAGTGGAGGATACAAAAGCTGAACTCAAATCTTCAAATATTGAAATCTCTTATCCAGTTTCTGAAGGTGATGTTAAAGAGAAAAAGAAAAGCTGGACATTGCCAAGATTTTCATTTTCAAAGACAAACACCAAGGCTCCTGATTGTGATATCAATCTTGAAGTTGACATTACAAAACCAGACAACAAAGCAGATCTTGATCCCTTAAATACAGACATAAAAGAGTCCTCAAGTACAATAATAGATGAGAAAGCTGCAACAGATGTGGATACCAAATTGAAAAAGCCAAGATTTTCATTACCTAGATTTTCATTTTCAAAGCCAAGTACAAAAGAACTTGAAGTTGATGAAAGTCTTCCAACTGTTGATGTCTCTCTTCCAGAAGAAAGAATAGAACCTAGCCCATCTGACTTTAAAGTCAAGCCACCAGAAAGTATTACAGAATTACAAGGTCAGGTTAGCAATTTTGAAATGCCAAAGATGGGTAAAGATATTGAAATCACAGTACCAGAAATCAGCACAGAGGTACAAATTCCTAATGTCGAGGTCAAAGTAGATGACAGTGTTGTCTTAGATATACCAGTAGAAGCCATGTCAAAACGGCCTTCCTGGACTTTCCCAAAAATGTCATTCTCAAGAACAAGTCCTAAAGCCCCTGATGTTGATATAAACACTGAAACAACTAAAGTTGTTGTTACACCACCAGAGATCAAAGTAGATGTCTCTCAAGATGTTGATACCAAAGAACCTTCAGGGACTACCTTAGAATCTACAGCTGTGGAACTTGATACAAGCTTGAAAAAAACTAAGTTTTCTCTTCCCAGGTTTTCGTTTTCAAAGGCAAGTATCCAAGAACCTTCTGTTCAAGAGGTGGCAGTTAAAGCTAAAAGTGGGATGGAACTTAAAGTGCATGAGCATGAAGGTAGAGATGATGGCCAAGAACTAACACCTAAACTACCTAAGGACTTAACAGACACTGATGAAACTAAAGTGAAAGAGGATGAAACTGTCACCATCAGGGATCCAAATATTGACGTTTCCAAAGCAGTGATATCAGACTCTGAAACTCAGAAGGCAGCGACTGAAGCCGTGACTCATGGATCTCCTAGTAAATTCAAACTATCGTCCTTTAAAATGCCAAGGCTGAGTTTTTCAAAAGCTAAACCTGAGGAAGAATATATCCCTGTTAACAATGAACAAAGAGAAAATCAACTGGAAATGGAGACTGACCCAAAGGAATCCCCAAAATTGTCCTTGACATCTTTTGGTGAGATCCTCAAGACTATTGATGCAGAATTCGATGTTCCAAATGTGGACAAAGATGAAATCTTGGAGGAAGTTCATGCAACAAAAGAGATTCATGTAAAGGATCTGGAAGCAAAGGAGAAACAGTTAAAGCAAGACACCACCAAAAGCCCAGAGAAGGTAGGTTGGTTTAAATTTCCAACGTTTGGCTTGTCCTCCCCATCAGAACCAGCAAAGATTTCTGAAAAAGAGGAGCAAAAGGATGAGAAAAGCCCAGCGGAGGACACTGGGAATGAGGAAATGAGCCCCACCTTTTCTGTCCAATCGTCAGACGCCTTTGCTGATGTAAGCTCTACATTCACCAGTGAGCATGCCGGACCTTCCTTGTCTTCCCCAACGAAGGTTACCGTCAAATACACTGACCCGAGTGCTGCTGCGGGACTCGGAGAGATTCACGGTGACATCGTTACCTCTACCACAAGAACAGAGCTGATCTCAGACATGCCCGAGTTGCCTGAGAAAATAACCATTCTATCCTCTGGTATGTCATCTTCATCTGAGGACACAATCAGATTGGATTCAGGAAAAATACACGTCATTACATCAAATATACACCCGACCCCAGAAACACAGCATGCCCAGATCCTCTCCGCTATCTCCACCCAACCAGGTGGGGATCTAACTTTCAAATCTGATGCAGACGAAGCTGCAGCATGGGTCCGCAGAGACTCACCTGGAGGCGAAAGAACAGTTTTCAAGAGGCACATAGTCATGGAGACGTCAAGTGAAAGAAGTGAGAGCAAAGAAACCGTTATAACTACACAAATAACACGCATGTTTGACTCCTCTGACCCCATCTCAGGCGACACAGCTTCATCTTTACAACGGCTTAAGGACTCTGTGCATTCTGAGAAAATGAGGTTCTTTGATGAGAATGATGAGTGAAATAACATTGAAATGTACATCCAAAGACACAACAGCTCATAGTTCACCCCTCATGGGCATCTTCATTTGAATAACTGAAATAATGTCAAGTAAAGCAACAAAAAAAAGAATTTTGACTGGTTACTTGCCAAAAATTGGAAATGATTTACCTGTGTGTAGCTATGATCACAATGATCTGATGTCACACTGCATGCTTAAATGACTTATTACAGCAAGAGGGGACTGTTAAAGCGACAATGCGATACAGATGTTAATAAGCTATATAAATTATTGCCTTAAACACATTATAAATCAAAGCTTCACTACATATTCTTGCTTAGGCAAAATGTTTTGTTTCTGCTTTCAAAATCCATTAACCTTTCTGTCAGTTTGTAATTTCTTTGTGTAAAATATCAATCGAGATACTTTTAAGATTTCACAGGATAATCTACACTCTTTTTAAAGTGTTGAGTGTTTGAGAATATTGCAAAAATAAAAAAACAACATAAAAAAACTAAGCAAAAACTAGTAAAAGAAACCATCAAGCCAAAAATACCTTATGTAACTGACATTGCGGGATATGTATACAGTAATTTAACTATAAAGCTTAAACTAGGGAACATCTATTATATGTAGCAATGCAAACATGATGAAATTTTCATCATTAAATTTAGCTAATGTACCCCTGCAACTATATTTGTAATAATTTGCTGGGTAGAATCTGTTTTGCGAAGATAAAGTATAAATATGTCTAATTAATTTTCTTTCACTATCAGTATATGTAAAAATAGGAGTATTGAACTGGCTATGTAAATAGCTTTATAGGCAAATGAGTTATTTTTTTGTCACTTCCCTTGTTTGTATTCTGATAAGCTTTAACTATATGTGTTTGCAAAGTTATACACAATAAATAAACACTAATATAAGTCAAATTGAGTCTGGGATTGATGATGAGTGTCCTGTCTCATGTTTATGGTTCCAATTTTCTACTTCATTTTATATTTACATAAAAATGTTTTTATTCCTTTAACTCAACTTCACCTGTTGTTAAATTTGTTAAATGAAGTCTAAAGGATACTTGGTCCTCAAATATTGATTTATTCTGTGATACCCCAAAAATATATAAATTTGATAGTTTCTACAAACAAATTACATTCAATGCAAACCTTATGAATAGATACGCATCAGTAACACTAGATGGAGACACAGCTCAGAATATTATTCAACAAAGTGGGAATTTGGTAAAAATAACCAGTTAAAAAAACAGTTAATTAAATGGCACGGTAAATCCTCCAAGGGCTCGTTTGATTACAGAAAATTACGTTGTTTTCGTACTTTTTAAAGGTAGGAACTCAATATCTCAACATCGAAACAGAACATTTAAAAGGAAGGAATACCTCCAGTAGCATACATAACACTTTTACAGTTTATATTTGGCACATCGGCATAGAAATTCATCAAACAGCTGACATAATTACCTGTAACCGAATTGCTAATCACCTCTCCATTTATCCGTTAGTGCTGCCTTCATGTGCGCCAGGTAAATTGAACAATTTGGGCAGAATTAGGTCAAACTGTGTGCTTGAGCGATCTTTTATACGCAGACGTTGCCGGTTTTCTCATGGAGGTGTGTGTTTTAGACCGAAGCAACATTGTTGTTGGAATACAGTCCTCCCATCTGAAGTTCTAAAATCAAAGCCTTTCGATTAGTGTTTTTAAACGCTTCAAAACATGACATTTGTAGGTCAGAGCCCGCTGTGACAGCTTTAATCCATCCAAGGTTCTTACGTATATTAAGAGACAATTCAACCGTAGAAGTTTAGAATATTGAAATATAGTAATCTAAAACGGACGGTTTAATTATATGTTTTTTTGTCAACTTCCTACTTCCTCGCCATATAAAACGAACTGATTTCCGACCACCTTTGAAAGCAGCGCGACTCACGCTTCACTGCGCAGGCTCCGAATACTTTTCCTAGGGACGGTAACTTCATCTAAGAGCCTTGCGCGCCCCTCCGCCTGTCGCCCACTACAACCCGCATCATCATCATCCTCATCATCATCCTCCTCATCATCATCAGCCCCAGCACTGCCAGCAGCATCAGTGTGATGAAGCAGCGGAGGACGGAAACCCTCCAGCTTTGAGATACTGGAACAACCCGCTGACAGGTACGGACATTTCACCGGCTTTTCAACCTTTTGCTCCGCTAATCTTTTTTCCCCCATCGCATTTATCCTATGAAAGTAACTCGGAGACCGATATTTTAAACTGTCGGGAAATCCACTCGATCAGCTTTACGTGGAGTTTTTTAAATGTATTTATTTATTTTTGCAGCTTGCCACATAGTTGGTTTGTGGGCAGAAAAAAAGAAGCAAAGATCCGTCTGTGTAGTCGCGTCTAAGTGTCGGTCGTTGTAGATACTGTGTTTAAAAATTGATCACCACTATCTGCCTTGCCTACCTGTTGTGCAAAAGGCAGGTCAGGTAAACCTGAGCTCCTTGGCTCCTGACCCACACCATCTCCACGTGTTGACTTCACATCTTATATGACCCTTAGATAGAATAGAAAAAAAAAAAAATTCTGGGGCAGTTAAGCTTCAGCTGAAGTGGGGCATCAAAAAAAAAGAAAAAGAGAACAGCAACAGAGCAGTGCTTGACTGATTTGTAAAAAAGAGAGTAACTGGTATTTTTGGCTCTGGGTTCAATTTTCGCTATGGCCTTGAGCTTTAGTTTAGGAGTATAACTAGATTTGTCTAAGAAACCTTCAGGTGGCGCTGCCCTGGGCTCCCATTTAACAGCAGAAAATGGAAAAAGGGGTTTGAAGGGGGGGAAGCAGCGGTAAAACCAAAGGAAAGATTGCCCTGTGCCGTTTTCTCGACGCTCTTTATCTGCCAAAGTGAAGTGGTGGATTTAAAGTGACTGTTGAAAAGCCCCAAAGGCTGCCAGCTTGGAAAGTCTATCCCGATGAAGAGGGAGAGGGGGGGATTGTCTTCTTATCTTGTGACCTTATTAACTTTAGGTTGCTGGGTGAGTAGTTCTGAAATCAGGATCTGTTCACTGCTGGATTTCCCCGGCTTTTGTTGGTTAATTCTGATCTGAACTGACTGTGTAGGAGTGAGTTGGAGGGGGTGGTGGGGGGGGGGGGGGGAGTTATTGGTCTTTGTGGCCCTGTCATGGACTGACCTATGTACACAATTCTGAGAGATGATTTAAATGGGCGGATGGGTGTTTTAAAGTTGCTGAACATTTGCTGTTTTTAGTGCCTGAAAAATGAATAACTGGAAGAATTAGTGGTTCCGTCAACCCAAATCCTGACAGTTTTAATGTCTGATTTACCAAAAGGGAGACATCTCCCTTTTCTAACATGCAGTGGAAGGCTCTTTTGCATCTCTATATATACATATATACATGTGTTACATTACATTACCATCAATGGTCTATTATATGTTTTTAAGATCTAGTTTAACTCGGCTTATTAATCAAGAGACAATATTGGAAATTATTTGAAAGTTCTTGAATAGCACAGATGTCAACTCAACACAAAACTGCTTTCCATTCCCTGGGTAAAAGTCAAAGCAGAAACTTTAGGGACAAGAAAGGATCAACTGATTTACATATAACTGCAATCACATTTAGGCCTCATATCCTGTTCGATTTCGCCCACAAATCCAGGAATGACTTCCTCAAAGTGGATACTGACTTCCTTAAAGTCATTGGAGAAGTGACATATTTCCTGTTTCATTTACGCTCAAACCAGAAGGTTCCCAAATAACAGCACAGTATTTGGCCTTGCAACTGAGTTATTAGCCAAGTGTTTTATTTGAGCCTGAATAATCTTTTAAAACAACCCTGCTAATCAAATGTTGTACATATTCAGATTAACTGCTTGCTTCCTAGTTAATGATATGAGTTATCAGCTCCTAAATAGGCACCTAAAAATAACAGATTTGATTCATAAACTTAATGGATAATGCTGGGCTTTATCAACAAATGTATTGGACTTTCATGACTATTATTTTATCTCTACCAACTCAGAACATGGAATTTTCTTATGATGATACGACAAATTGTTACTTATTTAATTACACAGTTTTGGTTCGGCTAATTTTGCTCCACAAAATATGTCAATAAAAAAAAAAAACTATAGACATCTGTTCTGTGACATTGTCTTTGGTCCATATTCAGGTACATTTGTTTGCCTTCAGTGGTTCTTTCACTTGCTTTTACTCCTAAACCTTTACACCCCAGGTATGTGCTTCGGAGCAGGATATCTGTTTTTTTTTGTGGCCAGCTTCAGGATCATGTTCTGGATTTTCGGTCTCATGACACTGCTTCTCTTCTTACCAACATGTATCACCATGGCAGCTTATCCTGGAAATCTAGCCTTCTCTACAACAGGTTCATAGGTCAGAGGTCAACATATACGAAAGCCCTGTCTCCCAACCAGTCAATCTCATTAAAGTGAAACTTTTTTTTTTTTTCCAACCAAATATTTGACTGAATACACTGTTTCCATTCCACTCAGAGGCATCCTCAGAGGGGAAAGCTTCTTTAGTCTGATACAGACATTTGACTTAACTGGAAAACTTTTTCAAGCTGACCTTTATATTAAATTTGGTGCAGACGTTCATTTAGTGAATCAACTTTTTTGAATAAAGTATAACTGTAAAACACTTAATACCAGCATACCAAAGTCCATTCTGTACATTTACATTTGTATCCATATTTTCCTTAAATGATTATTTTTATCAGTTAAAGTCACTAGACAACTTTAACACTTCCTGTTTTCTTCGAGTGAAAGTACATTTGAATATTTTCCTTGTTAACTACATATACAGCGAGAAGCAACGTTATGTCTGACTAAATTAATTAATTAAGTCTCTTTCATTAGATGTCCTGAGAACGTGTCAACAACACATTATTCTTTTTATACGAGAAGCATCTACTAATGATTTGATGACTTAATGGGATACTGATCGGCTTGATCTCACGGTTTTTTGGGGGCTGGTGGAAACACACAGTTGTGAGTGGTCACGTGATTGGCGAGCCCAACTCCCTCTACACGGGCACGCACATATCCGGTGTGGGGAAAACATGCTTTGACCTGCCTCTGAGTCCCCCTGAGGCATTGTGGTGCCGCTTCTCGAGCTCGCTGTGGTCAAGATTACGAAAAAGCGTCTGGCTGGTTGACGTCTCGCTCACCATTCGTCATCAGTTGCTTTCGTATTGTTTACTGTCTGGGGTCTAGAGCTCTCTGTTTGGTTTCAGTCTGTCTTTTTTTTTTTGTCTCTAACAAACTTCTTGTTTGCTCATCACCTGCTGCTTTATTGGGGTTTATTTTTTGACTTACCCTCTTTTTTCCATCCCACCACCCGAGGATAAATCGTTCTAAACAGCAGATTACGCCTTTGGTTTCTCAGCAAGTCAGTGTTTTCTTATGGAATCTTAAATGGCACAAATATGCTGGTGGTCCTTTTTTTTCTAGTAAACTTTGACTCACAATTTCTTACTTGTATGTCTCCGTCTCCCCTGTAAATAGCTATTCAGAGGCAAATACAGTACGTGTATTTGTCACTACATTTTGGACTCATGGACAAACATGCCTGTTTCACGTTTTTTTGTGAGACTTGAATGTTAAACAGACAATCATAGGTATTTTTAGAAAGGCTTTCTCTTTTTTTTGTATTTCTTTCTTAGTCTCTTTGAAAATGTGCAGAAATGAAAATGCAATAGAATATACTTTTATATTGCCAAAGAGAAATCATAATGTGCATGTGCACATTAAAATATAAAGGAACAATATAGTGGTGCTTTCTGGTCGATGTTAAGTCAACACAAACAATTTTCCAAGGTTTATTGTGTTGGACCGTGCAATCGATGTGAAATGACTGCTCAGAGCTGAAAATCAAACCCATTATTTATATTCGGTCTTCATTTCAGCGTGGTCTGGGGTGTTAATTACTAAGTCTGTGAAGTAGATAAATCTAGATAAATCTAAATGTAAAACTGCGAAATGGTGGCTAAAGCATGTCTGTATCTGTTTTTTTTTCCAACAATTTTTTTTAGGAGAGTTGAATGCAGCAAAGCGTGAAAACAGTTTTTATGACCTATGATCATGCAGGAAGATACCAACATTTTAACTATAATGTCACATTTAGAATCTTTTAGAAAATGTAGAAACTGAAATGGTCAAAGAAATCACTTTAATATTACATTAGAGAACTTGTAGTGTTGCATGTGCTATGTTTTTTCTACACACTGGTATTGCTGTGGTTGGGAATGACTTCCTGTTTCATACTTTGCTGTGGCTGAAGAAGCCTCTGTCTGAGAACACCATTTAGGTGATGTGTAAAAAAAAAAGAAAACACAATACAATTGTGCTTTCTGTTCGACGTTAAGTCAACACAAACAATTATCCTGCGTTTGTTGTGTCGCACCGTGCAGTCGATGCTAAATCGCTGCCCAGAGCTGTAGATGAAACCCATTATGTACATTCAGCCTCAGTTTTAACATAGCATGAGTTGTTAATTACTTGGAGGTGTTCTGAGTGGGATAAATCCAGATGTATCTAAAATCTAAACTATTGTTTGAGGACATTTTTAAAGATAAAATGTTCCCTGCCTGTTTCTGTAAGAAATATATATATTTTGTATTCTTACGTTTATCTATGACGACCGCATGATTTTCTTGATAGATTAAATTTTCCCCCTGGTGGCATTTTCTTTAAAATGTTGAATGTTGAATCTGAAATATAACCGGGTTCATTGCCTAACAATCCTGAGTCACATCTTTGTGGAGGGCCATGGATTTTATTAGGCTAAAACACTCCATTTTAAATTCAGCAACCACTCGAAATGTTCGCCGCCTCAGCGTGACCTCGCGGGAAAAAAAGGTGATTAGAAAAGTGTTTTAGCATTTTCACGTCTCTGCTGAGGCGTAAGCGACGCGGCTCCCCGTCGACGCCGGTAATACCACGAGAACGGCTACGCTCGGAGCTCAAAAGACGCTTTATTTTAGCCCCGGACGGAGACATCTCGGCGGCGTCGCGCCCGGCTTTAATATGTAAATTTGGGTGACTGTTACGCTTCACGTCGCCGCTGAGTGAATCAAATCCAGGGCCCTCCAGGCCTCCCCATTTGCTACCTCAAGGCAAGCAGACCAGACACCGGCCGGACCGACCAGGCCGATCCCCTCCAGGGGGAACAATACCGGCCTCAGATGAGGAATAAAGGCCGCATTGTCTCCTCGCCGAGATGACGAAGACGAAAGGGGCAGAAGCAATTCCAGGTTTCACAGAGAAGCCTCACAACAACACGACCCCGTCCGGGCGGCGGTAATTGCCGCGCAACAGCACACATGAATAACCCCAAATCAGGCTCGTGCGTTCAGGCAAAGTGCACTACTCAGACAATCAGAAGCATAAAATCTCAATGGCTCGTCCCCATGGCAACAGCAACTGCCAGTCTGATTGTAGAAAAAAAAAAAAGTGGCATCTCGGATAACTTGTCACACGAGAAGTCTGCCTTTCGTGCTGTTGGCGCCGGCCGGTTTGCGGATGAAAGATGAGTGATTTACTGGTATCCGTTTGAAAGGTCCGTCGGTTTAACAGCATAATGCGCGGCGTGGTGTTCCATTCATTCCCAGTCACTTTCAGTGTTCAGTGGTTACCACTATCCACTGCTCAGACACCAGAGCATCCTCAGAGACAGACAACCATGCCAAGCTTTTTCTCACGTCTTTGGCGGGTATACAAACAGAATATAGGTTGCGCTGGCGATGATTACATTAGTGAAGTAGAAGTAGTTTAAACACTAGTTATGTGAGTTGTCTCTAAGTTTCGATGTCCAACTCCATTATCGCCAATCTAATGTTGGGACCTTCTGATTTAGTCTTAACATGCCGTGTTTCCATGTAGCAAAGGAAACAGCGTAGTGGCATCAACGAGGATAGTACAATCTACTGTATCCCTAACCACGATGGACCCTCACCAAACCGTAAAGCGATAAAGGTGTTGTAGTAAAGCGTTGTGTTACAGACTCACTGTGACATTCTGACTGGTTTGGAAGCGCCTTGATTTGTGTTGGGTTCAATCCTGGGCCTGTGACACCCCCATGCAATGCCAGAGTTCTCGCAGTTCGCAACTGTGGCTTTAAGGCCTACGTCACGCCATGACATTTTTGCGGGCTTTTTAAGTGAACGTGTCTGGCTGTACATTTACTCACACTGTGATTTTCTTGTATGACAACTCTGTTATATCGCACAACTCTTTCGGGAGCCAAAGGAAAAAAAAAACTTCAGAACTTCTAATGTTGCTTTTGGATTGCAGGAACATTCCTCCACCTTCCTATCCTGTTTATGTGGTTGTAGCAAGGTTTTCCCACTAGGTTTTTCTTTTTAAGAGCTCAGAGGGAAAAGCGCTTCTTTTCCCCCTCTCTGGATCCAGGCACAGTACTTCATTTCAAGAGACTGAGACTAATTAGAGATTTACATCTGTGTTAGTCAGATCCTTCTGACACCGCTCTCTGTGCCATTGTCCCGTCTTCCCAAACAGCTGAGCCAAAAAAAACAAAACCAACACAGCACCATTGTACCATTCTAGCTTTTTAACTGAACGACCCGATAGCGAGCCTTGATGAAGCAACCCGTAAGCATGTGGTTGGTTGGATTGGGTTTGGGTGGGAATGACTAGCTGTGTTTGGTCATAGTCGATCATTTAAAAGGTTGAGGAGCCAGAAATTTCCGAGGAAAACAGGGCCGAGCAAGAGCGTCTCTCAGACTTGCAGTCACAGATTTTGCAACATTTGGGACAAAACCTGCTGAAGCTGAGGAATACAAATTGAAACAATGAAAGAACAGAGCCAACAAACACGCTTGAACTCCTCACAAAGTAATTTTTACTGATAACTTCAGAATATTTACCTTCACTAAAGGATCCCATCTGCCTTGTAAGGAGGAAAAAAAACGTAGGAGGTGCTGCTGTCATCCTGTTTGATGCTTTTACTCAGGTTTACTTCTTTTTCTGCTGTTATTTTTGCTCTATATACTCTGTATTAAAAGGGCCGACTTATTGATCATAGAATAAGTTGCACTTATGAGTGCAACTAACTTTGATACGGCTGTAAAAAAAAAGAAGAGAAAACATTGTTTAGAATTCTATGCCATCCGCTCTTTTCAAAAATGTAAAAAACTGTCTAGACAGGGACACACTTTCCACTGTGTTGCATCAGCTGCTCTTAAGAACACTTTGTAAGCATTTGGGAGGTGCTGAGACCAACTCTGATAGCAAACGTTTTACCAATCTGAAACATCTCCATATTTTTCATTAATGCCAAATGCATGAATATGCAAGATATATCTCACTTATGCGCCCCAGATATGGTTGTCAGAACGAGTGATAATTAGAGACTAATGGAAACTGAAACGAGATCTGGATTCGCACCAGCATTTATACCAACACTGCTCTCTTGATCTCGTCCTGTTAAGAGCCCAGTTCGAGCAGACCTTGTCTTACTTCTTTTCAATCTGGAGGCTAAGACATGTCAGACAGAAATATCTAAAAAAGGAAAGTTTTGTGGGAGCCAGCCAAATGCAGTTAAATATTGCATTCTGATTGAAATATTAACCGGTGGCAACAAAACCGAAAGATGCAGCTGAAATGGAAATTAAAAAAAAAAAAGTAAGGCGTCTCTAAGGTGACGGTCTGTGGGGCTAATCGTTTTTGAATCTGCTGTTGCGTGAAGTACCATTTAAAAAGGAGTCCCACTTAAAACTGACCCTTAATAAGTGTAAAAAAAAAGAAAGAAAAAAAGCCCCGGATCAGGCTCCGTCTAATAATAATATGTAATGATAGCTTTTTATACAAGACTGTGATTTCCCTACACTGATGTTTTCGATGGGTTGTATAAGACACCAGCTTCTACTTGCAGGACACAGCCATCTCACTTAGCAACTTAGCAAAGAAAAACTAATTTTCCAGCACGAGCGCTTTGTTAGCCATTGTGAAATAAGCTGTTTTTTTCAACACATATTCGGGACGTTTTTTTGTTATGACCTTATTGCCATTAACAAAAAAAGCTAACTTTCAGAGTGTTTGTTTGGTGGCAGTAAGGGCAGTAAGAGTTAACCCTAACCAACTCTTTTCTGCCAGAACAAGCACTGTGCGGACATGAACCCAAAAGGCTAATCCCAAATGCCAAGCATGTTAATAAGGGATGGCACAAAGAAAAGTAGTGCTACAAATTGGGCAAAGCATCTCCAACACGTCTTCATCCTTTAGCAATCAGGCAAAAACTCCCTTAGTGGTCTCTTTAGTTATCTTTATGTTTTCAACTTGCTTGCATGAACATCTGCTAATGCAAAAGTGTTGTGTATGACGCATGACATTTTTTTCACCCTCCTTTGGATACCAAAAAATTGGTATTGAGTCATAGGCTTTTGGTGTTTTCCCCAAATAGAGGTTTTCTCGTCCATGTTCAGAAGTGTTGCTGACGAAAAACTTGTGTTTATTTTTATGTTTCAGCTTTAAATAAATTATCTTAATATAATTTTCTAATTGCACTGCAATTTTTATAACTTTAAAGTAACTGAGAATGAATTGTGGTGTTTGTTTGCTATTTACATTTTGCACATTGCCTTCAGATTTTGGAATTCCAAAAGGAGGAGCTTGTTTTATTGCATTTGACACACACACAGTCGTGGCCATTACTGGACAATGTTTCCTTTATGAGACGGAAATGAAAAGCGTGAAAGGTACATAGCAGTGGCGTTGGCTAAACGCATGTTCCAGGCCTTCACAGCAAGTTGCTGTCGCTCCATAGCTCGTTCGGTGTCTGTGTCTGACGATCACATGCTGTTTTTGTGGTGTGTTTCAGATAATTGCCACTAAGTGGCCAAGATTGTTTGCTAATTAAAGCTGACTGTTTCTACAAACTGCACTGATTGGGCCCGTTAGAATGAAAATTGCGCAAGATATTCCGCCCCGTTTGGAAAACTGTGAGTGTAATGAGCTTATATGAAAGAACCTAACACGCAGAGTGTGAAGCCAGCTTCAGGGAAAAACACTAAGCAATAATGAGCCGAGAATCAAAAGTGAAGACGATTTTATGACTGACTGGTGATCTCAAAATGTGTTTTCTTCCAGGATGACTGAAGTGATTAATTCTCTGGAGCCGGGGACAGAGGGCTTCAGTGGGGGAGGAGCAGGAGATCAGGATTCAGTATCCTTCCTACCGACTACTGCTGTTGCTGTGTTTCCTCCAAGACTGTGAAAGATATGTGTGAAAGAAATGACTTTATTCTGGTTCGTAGTGAAAAACATGCTAAACAGGCTCATTCTTAGGATTTCACTTACACATAAACCTGCATGTTTTTGGATGAGATCACTTTTTAACTCTGTATCTACTGGAAACCTTTTGCTTTGTCGACTTTTTAAGTATTCTCCCGTGAGAATTCTATTGGGGTCTAAGTTTCTTCATAGCACTTTGGGCCAAATTTAATTGAGAATCGAATCAGTTTATTCAAAGGAGGTTTTATTCTGAATGTTTTGCTAGCTTACATTCAGTTTAGACTAAACTGGAAATGTAATATCATACGATGTGCCTGAAACGCAAGCAAATTTTTAACGTTAACCCCAAGAGTAATGAGAAAATCAATCTCATGCACCCAGGTGCAGTTTTCCTAATCTAATTTTCCACGCATAGTTGTTGCTCTCACATGTATCATGAGCGCTGTTTTAATCTCTCGAACCATCAGAACTGTCCCGCTAACCTTACATAAGCCGGAAACAGATCTTCCCAGACACCCATGAAAGGTATCCAAAGCTGTCCAAGAGGCTTCCCTCCATCGTGGTGGAACCAACAGACGCAGCCGAGGTGGAAAGCGGGGAGCTGCGTTGGCCACCAGACGAGCCCGGCACCCCAGAAGCCCAAACCGAGAGGCGGACAGCAGAACAAACTGCAGGTGAAGAGGAAACAGACCCCGATCTTGTCCCTCTTTTGTATCGGGTGCCGTTAGAATAATTGCAGAGTGAAACCAGCCAATAACGAGTGAACCCGACCAAGAAAACACACAGACTCATGAGCTGATGGCTGCAGCTGTTTTTGGAAGCAGTTACTTTTTAAATTATTTGTGTAAAGTCACAAAGTTCAGTGGATTGGTTTTTGGCTTGGTTTACTCTTATTCATAGTCCCATTTCCATGTTGTATAAAATATAAAAGGGTTCAAAAAGAAGAACAGCTCTTGTGCAAAATCTTGATGGATTTTGTTTGAGTTGTCTTCGAGTTGTGTTGACCTGTACAGAGTGAACAAGGGGAACAACTGTGCAGGATGTGGCTGTGGTGCACCGAAGCCACAGCAGAAGGTTTCTGGACTGTGAATACATGCAAGCAGCTCTCTGCTGTGAAGGCAACATGAGGAAATATTGTTGCTGCACTTAATCTTGTTGCTTTTTGAAGTTTTATACTTGGCGGTTAGAGCTTTGGATGTATGATTAGATTTTTAAAAAATCCCTGATAGAAATGTGATTGTTATTGCAGCCTGATATACTGGGTTAGGGTTAGGGTTAGGGTTAGAGTTAGGGTTAAACAAAGACATACGTTTCCAAGATGCATTACATCGGTTTTTGAAAGGCTCATATTATGAACATCACAATTTTTTCTAAAGAGATTCTTTCTCGTGTTAAACCTCAAAAACTGTTGCTCTCGTCTAGTACAGTGTAGAAAACATAACCATATTCGTCTTTAAACGCACTGGAGTAACATATAGGACAGAAAAATGTAAGTTAACACATTTTCCTGTCTGACCGTTCAAGGTGATCGTCACATGCTGCAGCTATTCGTGCCATTTTCATTTGCATATTTCACCTCTGACTGGTCATCAGAAGTTAACATCCGTTTATTCATCCCGTGCCCGTAAAGGTTACTTCCTGTAATTTCTGCCTGATTTAGTTCTTTGTGCTGATGGCACGCTTTACTTTCTCTCTCACGAGGTGAGCATTATTTGCATTCATGCAAATAACGTCTGCTGAGGAGGGAACAAGCAATAGACGACAGTTACACATTCAATATTTCAATCACGCAAGCTAATCAAGAGGCTTTTTTTTTTTAAAAAGGGTACCAACCATTATTTCCAATTATAGATTTAAGGAGATTTACTTGAATGCATAATGAAGTCGGGCAGGCTTTAGAGTACAATGCAGCACAGATTAGAGAATCAGTAAAGACTAGGCTTTTTAAAAAAAAGGTTCACATTCAGACCATTCGTTTTTACAGCGAGAGCATAACTGTGTCTTTTAATGATTTCATCAGCAAAGTGATTCAAGGAAAAGTTCTTCAACTTCTGGAGTTTGCAATAAGTACTAAATCTGTGCTTGAAACCACATAAACCAACCAGAAATCCCAATGCCTGGCACGTAGGGCAGTTGGTTGTCTTTTTGTGCAGCTATACATAAAATTCCTATATGGCGCTGCTACTGCGAGGGCCGCAAAACCACTTCGAAGTGAAACAGCTTGGTTGGAAACGCGCCGTTGTTATTATGCGTGTGATTCCTCGACGACCACTTCTTGGCCAACGTCCACATGAGGAGAGTGAATCTTCTCAGTTATGACACCTACTGTTTGGGATGAACCATTGCAGCGACTTCAGCACAGTCTACAGTGGGTTGCGTACTTTCTGTAACAGGGAAAACAAGTCAATTTAACCCTATAATGCCAAATGTATCACATTTGATACGTACGGTTTCTGAAATGTTTTGCGTCTGACACCTTTCGCATAATTTAATGGTAAAAACTTTGTTCAAAATCCTGTTGTACACAATCAGATACACCTGATAACAGGGGGCAGAAGACTACACAAAAATAATCTTGACTCATCGCATAGTGATAAATTATTAATATAAAAAATGTATTTCTGTTTTTTCTCTTGACATATTTTGTTAAAAGGCCAAATAAGGAATTCAAACCAAAAAAAAGTAATTTTATGTTTTGTTTTATTCTTGGATCGGGCTTTAAAGGGTTAAGATCATTACCATATATGTATTTGGCTGTGTCTTGTTTTTGTATTTCAGGAATATATATCTGCTTGAAGCGGGAATTTCTATCAGCACTGTTGGCACCATGTGATGAACCTGTTTGGAGCTTTAAAGAATGGTCTTACTAAACTGAGCCATGTTTGTTGTGTTGAGAAATGATGCAATGAGTCCGCTGGGCTGTTAGGAGTGTCGCTCTTCTGGTTCTAGATACTTTCCATAAAAATGAGTTAAAAGCAGCCGTGGAGCCTGACTCATCTGTCATACTGTGAGCTCCTTTGCTCACTTGCTGGGAGTTGAAAGTCCTAGAGCCACAATAAAAGGGTTCAAATCTGGCTTTAAAATCTAATCCACTTCTAAGCTTCATAGCCAAAGAAGCAAAACAATGCATCCGAAACCTAATCCACCATCTGCGTGTTTTTCCAGATGAGGAGAAGGCAGATGCCGGAGTGGATGAAGAGGCGTCGGGGGTGGAGATGCAGGACTCCAACTGAAGCAACCGTCCTCGTGTGAAATACGCTGTTACTGTGAGTGGGACCGGACATGGACGAATGCGAAACAAAACCTAAAGAAAGAGCGCCTTGCGAAAGTAGACAGATTAAGGGAGATATTTGGAAGGAGAGTAGAGAAAACAGATTTCCAAATCCCAGCTCGTGGGCTTGGAGCCAGTGTGGCGTCGACACCTTCAGGGACAACACAGACAAAGTGTTTTTCTTTGCATGAACACAGCCAGGCTGATATGACTAAAGATTGATATTGGGGACTAATATTCTAGTATTCCGTTCCGGACCACGCTTTCCCAGTTGGCTGCTTTGCAATGAGGAAAAAGATTCGATAACTTTTGGCAGCAAGATTTCCTTTCCCACACGACTGCTGTCACACATCCATCTTAGTAAATAAATTGACAAAATTAACGTGGTCTTTCTGGCTCCAAGCCCTTAACGCCCAGATGCCCATGATATCATCTGCGCATCTGGTCCTGACAGATATTTCTATATGCTGTTAGAAGTTTTTAGCTCATGTGTGCCATACTACTACTAATGATAGCTGCTGTATTTGTGCAGTTTTACATGAAATTTAGATGTAAAGGACATTCCTATTAAGTGCTGACTGCTGTAGTTTGGTGATCTTGGTCTCACTATTCACTTTGTAATAATAGCTATGAGTATTTGATTAAGAACAAATATTTCTCTTTATTTGATGTTATAGCATTCCTTAATATCTTATGATATGTATACTTTGTCTTCATACAGTAGTTGTTAAAGGGAATGTAATTGTGTTGTTTTCCTCACAATATCGGAGCAATATATTTACTGGAATTTCAAGGCAATCGATTTTGTTACAGAGTTCAAATGAACCAGTATGTTTTAGATGGGTGTTGCTTGGCACAGACATATTTTTAAAAATACTGGAATCCTAAATTATTACACAAGTAATAAAACCTTTTAAAAATTATTTAAGGTTTCTTTCCTTCATTGTGGAAAACTGAAAAGGATACAAACACATCACTGAAAATGACAAAAAATGGCCATAATCATGGTCTTCTTTCTATTCTTCTGAGATCTGGTGTTAAATGTTCATTTTATTTTACGAGTTCGGCTGAGATTTCCTCTTAACGTCTTGCTGTACAGTGAAGAGAGCATCCTGGGTTTTGTGTTGAGGTTGTAGTTGCGTGGTAAAAAAAATGAAAGGACTTTCCGAAATTTAACACAATTGATAGAAGCATGAGACAGGCAAATAGGTAGATAATAATTATTTTCTTTCTAAAAAAATAAATCTTAAAGGCTATTCTAAAATGGTGGAAAAGTAGTGGCCACCTGTTCAAGCAGATTTTTGTGTTGTGTCTTTCTTTGCTTCTTTTGGAAGTTTCCCTATGAAACCTACATTTTAAAATCCTTTCACCAACGACTTGCATTTTGTGTTTTTGGGCTGATTCCTGCTTTTAATTAATAAACCTTTAAATATTTGTTATACTGCATAAATACGCCAGTGGAGACAATATTTACATGTAAAAATAACTGGGCTTTTCAAAACCAAACAATGCCTGGAATAAAACCATAATCACAGAGAGAGCTATTTTTTTTTTTAAATTAAGAGATATTTTTTAAAGTAATCATTAAGAAAAAACTTTTTTTCATGCATATTCAGTATTTTTAATACCATATAGCATTTCAGAGAATAGTTTGCCCTTTTTTCCTTTATTTTCACACTCAAATTGATTTATTTTAAGTTTTAATTCTGCTTTATGAAACATTGATGCAAAGCCCTTCAGAGATCAAAAGACACAAAATCTGAGAACGAAAGGTAAGAGGAGAAAATGTCTCGTCTTAGCAGCTGGGAATAAAAGGTTGCAGACATGTCATGTCTGACTGAATGTTCATTTCTATGTTAATTTGCAATTGTACCACTTTATTGTTAATTTCTTTCTTTAATGAGAATTTCAGTGGATTCAAGACTAGAATAAGATGAAAGAGCAATCTTAACATGTCTTGTAAATGTATTGGTCCTTTTGAATAACTGCTTTGATGCTTCATAATCCAAACAATAAAAAAAATCTCCCAGTTAATCTCATTTATTAGAATGCTTGTTTTCAAAACATCTTTAGATATAATTGTAAGAAATGATTATAAGAGCTTATGGGAAAACAGAGGACTTCAGTTCTGCAGTAAACTAAAAATTGTGCTGAAAATTGGCTTGACTGATCATCAGCACTGGTAACCACCTCTGAAGTATTTAGGTGGGATTTCACACCCATATAATGAGGAAAGGGACATAAGCCCATTTCCAAACCATTTAAAGTCTGTCATTGCAAAGACATTTTAAATGATAGACAGTACAAGTACAAGGATCTTCAGCTCAGACTTATCAAAGACAGAGTGAATACGGTTTGTCTGAAGTGGTTGCTCGGCTAAAAGGGGGTCATGCAAAAGGCATTGAGAATACATTGAAAACAACAACTCGTCACAGTAACTGCAAGATATGAAACATCTTTTTTTGCTTTCTAAATGTGTCCCAGGCTATTTATGACTACTCCTTTTTTATCATTCAATTTCAGTGAAACAATATAACCCAATTATATGCGTCACTGCCTGAATTCCCTGATTAGAAACATACTTTCTAAAACAGATGCTTCTGAAAACTACAATTAATTTGAGCAATAATCGTAAAACTACACTATGTTTTCTGTGTTCTCCTCGCTGAAAAAAAAAACATTGAAACAAGAACATTTTTCTCCCAGTGAAAGAAGCTCAGGTGTGTTTCTGCCTCCCCCTGAGCTGGAAGCGGCTCCATGGATCTAACCTCTGCTCTCATTTCCGTCTGATGTATGATTTGTACCTCAGAGTTATTTTAAGAATCTTCCCCCAGCATCTGAAAACACTGTTGCCCCTTCGGTTCACGTCACTGTGACGGAAACAGGAAGCTTTCTTGAGTATAACTTATTGGAATTTCTTCAGTTAGAGTAATCTTATTCACAAATCCGACGCGGATAAAAATGGGTGGACGTTTATCATGTTTTGACATGAAAGAGTTTCTTTTCATTTCGGATCTGCGCAGTTCCGCGTTTGGTCATAACTCATGTCAACCACTGATGAGATTCTAGCAGTAGGTCAGATTTACAGCAAAATCATATTACAGGCAAATTGCTTAAGCAAGTTCTGCATCTTGAAACTCCTTAGTTTCCTCATGGATAACTTGCTTGTAGAGACAAATTAGCTCTCAGACTCCGCCCCTTTTTTTTTAATGATGTACCACTTACAGTATATGGCACACCACAGGTTACAAATGTTTAGAGGTGCACAATGAGGCAAAATGACACCCCCAAGGCTGCGCCACTTATGATGAGGCATCGACAATGACAGCAAACTGAGTTTTTATGGATATGCTGTCTGCTTAGATTAAGCCAAATTCAGCAGGACACTTTGCGTAACTGTTGGAAAATATATCAAAATACGCTGTGAAAGCTTTCCACGAAAGGGAAACATTTTTCTACTTGGTCCAAGCTCGTCACCTGATATCAACCTGATCTCGCCCGAGGATGAAAGAAATCCCTAGAAATTCCACAACAGCCTTCAACAACTGAGCAGGGGGGCTGTCAGTTACATCTCCAGTCTCCAGATTTCACAGGTTCTCATGAAAATCTAAAAATGGAACAATTTGTTATTAGAACCCTATCCAGGAAAAACTTGTATACCTAAAATTTTTCAACGATATTGTTTTGTTACCTTGAAATTAATTACATGTTTTTTTTTGTCTTGAAACCACTTTTGCAAGTCATTAAAAAAATGAATATTTCCACATCTAATTGTTTGTTTGTCTCTCTGAAAATGCATCGGGTTCTTCTTTCAGCCTCGTACTGTATATACATCCAGATGAACAAGGAACAAGAGCAGCGCTCCCACATATGCTTTGATAGCTTGTTGAAGCTGATACACCGTTAAAGGTCAGACTGGTGTCTTGATCCAGACAGCGAGATGGATGGCAGGATCTCCATCTTATTTTTTTTTCCGTGCCCCCGTTCGCTTTCTAGATGTGACCTTTCGGATGACAGCCTTGTGAAGTGCACTTCAGCAGAGCAAGCCGGGTCACTACTGGGAAATGAAGTGCTGCAGGGAGAGAGGCTGCAAGGGGAGGAGGGAAAAAAAAAAAAGCACCGTCAATTATCTCTCAAATGTCACAAGCTGCTTTTCAGAAGATGGAAGACTTGCACTTTCCTCTCTTCTTAAGGAAAGAGCGAACACACAGTTTGTGTCATATTTCATACACGGTTCTCCTGGAGAAGGAAGTCTTAACATTTACCGCCACAAGACTTGGGTCGGTTAAACATTCTAATGGAGTCGCACGAATAAGAGATGTTTAGGTGTGTTTTGAAGGTTTCGTCTGAACAAAGTGCTGTGCAAAAGTTTTAGGCAGTTTCAATCGGGTCTTGAGCTCATCGTTTGTTCATTGCTGTTTTTGCAAAGAGCACTTTTCTTCCACTCAGTTTTTCACCACTTATCAGCTATGCATTGCAAGTAGGTTGCCACTGTGCCTGCTTGCGAAACAAAAAAACTTTTTTCAAGGTTTTTTGTAAGTAGGCTTTTGGGCATATTAGAACACTTGGTCGATTTTTTTTCTTATGTACATTTGGGAAGTCTAATTATCTTCATATCTGATTGTTTCCCCTGGCTACGACCATCGCACGAAGGACAAGGGTCTGTAATAGAAAAAAAAGAAAAAAAGTCATTAAGATAGTTGTACTTTAAGAACTGGAATGGGTGATTATTAAGTTGTTAAAGGAACTTTGGGTAGTTCTGATACAATGTAAGTAGAATCATGTTTAATAATTCATATTGGGTTGAATGGATCATTTATCTTTTAATTCATCATTTTTGGGGGAAAATCCAGACAATTCTGGATGTGACAAAGAGGAATGACAGAAAAGAAAAGTGTAAAGGTTATTAGATAAGATAAGATAGACTTTATTGATCTCACAGAGGAGAAATTCACGTGTCACATTGGCTCTTATGATCAAAAGGTGTCAAACGGAGGAAAAGTTGCATTAGGTATATACAGTGCGTCACATATATATGTACACATATGCATATATACAGTGGATCGGAAATGAAAGAAATAAGAACAGATTTAAGGTGACTTGTATACATTTATAAATATTAAATATGAATTGCACAGTAGTAATTGGACAAATTATTGCAGTTATAGTGCAGCATTTTTAAATCTGGTGGAAGCAGGGATGAATGACCTGCGGCAAAAAAAATGCAGGCAATAATGGCCCATAGTTATGTTTGAGGGATATATAACCTATAATAGATGCCAAAGCATGCACGATTTGTGTAAAAAAAACATCATCCAGTTTTTAACCATGATGTTTTAACCTTACAAAGTAGCTTTCTGTTTAAGCTCAGGCCAGCTGACTTTAATACCTGAAAGAAATTAAGTCTTCACTATTATATATTTATATCAATAAAGTCTATCTTATCTTATTTCTGATTAATGCCTGAAAGATCCACTACAAATAACATACTTACATGTTTAAATACTATGATGATTCTGAGCTATTTGTGCTGACCATTTTGGGAGAAAATTGTATATCTAATCTCTCTTTACTTTCCTTTCACAATTTCCCCATATTCCTTAATTTATTCTTATGTTCCCCTTTTCATTGACCTCTCCATCTTTCATCTAATCGTCCTTATTATAATTAATCTATCTTCATTCCCTGATAAATCCAACCTACTGGATTTATTATTCAACTCCTGTATTTGAAACATTTTTTCTTTTGCTCAACATTTAATTCTCTTTCCTTCTTTCCATCTATCAACTCTCACTGGCAATTAGAAAAAAAGCTTTCAGATCAGGCAATTGTTGGATTTAAATAAGTGTTATTCAAAGAAATACATTTTTGGCTAAAGCTCAAACACAAATCCACGATTTTCCCGGGAACAATGTGAATCTCGGCCACAAGAAGTAAGCATTAGCCTGCCCTGATTTATGTCCTGTGGCTGCTCTCCTCTTTCATTACAGGATTCATTTATGTTCAATTTGGTACAAAGACCGAACAGACGATGCCAGCGGCCACTTGTAAATCTGTGTATTTAAAATTACCTTTTAACACCACCGTCATAGAAAGCAGACTGTTGCGACAGGGTCTTGTTTTGATGATGTCCAGGTGAGTCGTGCCAGTACTTTCATCTCCTTCTCCCGCTGGCTTCAAACGGGCCTTTCAAACAGGTCCATGAGAGACTCAGGTAACGCGAACCCACCTGCAACACCACATCGCATCTGGGCTCAAAGGTCCTATTCTAACATCTGACGTATCCTGGACAATACAAGCTGCTGTGAAGTGAGCTCACATATGGAGCACGTTTGTTTACTTTTTGTAATATGGGGAATTGTTTGCTTTAAAAAGAATGCCGTATTTATTTTATCAGACGTTCAGAGGTGGATGCTAGTGTTTCGTTAGTGTACAGGAACCTGTTGGTTATGCCACTGGACCTTGGCTGGGCATTGATAGACAGTGTTGTTAAGGATAGTGCATATTTGGCAAATAAAGCACTTTGCTTTATGACCGTTGAATGAGGACGGAGCCTTCCGGACAGCTCTAACAGAGAAAACAACCAGTGGAAAACGACGCGTTGGATTGACAACAGGCAGAGGTAAAACTCTGCCTTGTCCGTAAGTACCGCTATCCACCACAGTCAGCTGAACAGCGAGAGATAGGCTGTGATTGGACAACGTGTCTGGCCAAGGGTGTCTGTGTTTACAGAGAGACAGCGCAGTGGCCTCCAACTGCTGAGAAGGAGCCTTAAGGAAGCGACAGGCAAAAAGAAGCGAAATAATGCCTCCAAAAGGATCCAAGTCCGACGGGAGACAAGATGAGGACTATGTATCACTCACGCAAGTCAAAGAGTTGCTGAGCCAGCAAAAGCAAATGTATATGGAGTTACTCCAACAACAACAGGACAATTTTAAGGGTTTTGTTAAAATCATTGTGGACACTACTAACACCAGAATGGACGCAATGACACGAGAACTACAGGACATTAAAACCAGCCTGCAATTT